CTCTCTCTCTCTCTCTCTCTCTCTCTCTACATATATATATATATCCTTCTCTCTGTTTCTCTTGCTAAGGGATGTTTTTGGATGGCCATACGGTGTGTTTGGGGTTCTCTGTAATTTGCCCATGGAGACCATGTTTTACCTTTTATTTTTGAGAGGGATGTAAGGTACTGATGAATATCTCTTTTTGATCATTAAGATGATGAAATTGTTCTATAAACTTATTTTGGGCGAATTTTTTCTATTGAGGTGCATTGTTTTCATTTATTTTTTGTTTTTATTTTGTTGATTTCTGTTATTTGGGGGCTATTATCATGTTCTTTCCATCTCATGAAGGGACTTTCTGATTGGATTTATTTAACGTTTTCATGTGTTGTTAAATGCTAGTGCCTTCTTTTTTCCTTGAAGTTAAAAATGTAATGGGAAGACTAGAGAGAAAAGTAGCAGACAGGGCGAAGCTAGAGAGAACTTGCAGAGGAGAGCCAAGAGAGAACCCCTGGGAGGAGGGGCGAGAGACTGTGAAATGGGAAAGAGTTGGAAACCTAGAGAGAGAAAATGGAGAGGGGAACATGGAGAGACAGAGGTAGAGAACTTGCAGAGGGGAATATAAGAATCTACGAAAATCGATGGTGAAGAAATGAATTCAAAAAATTACTTTTTATATTTTTTGAAAAAGAATTTCCGTATTTAAATTATTGAACTCTAAAAATTTGGATCCAAAATATTTTTGGAGTATGTTTTGTAGGTATGCAGCACAAGAATAGTGTAGATTTGGCCAACTTTTCCTTTTAAGAATCTTCACTTTATTTAAAGGGTGTGGTTTTTGTACCTTCTGCAAAGAAAGGTAAACCATCCAATTAAGGCGAACTTCTAAATTTTATCGTGAGATGTAATTTTAGTGTAAAATATTTTGAGGATTATTGAAAAGTTATTTTTATATCTAATTACAAAATTTTAAATTTCAAAAGTAGTTAAAATCAAGTAGATCTATTAACGTATGAAAATATTGAAGAGTTATGGTAAGGGGTTTATAGTGTAATTTAGTAAGGTACTCAATAAAATTAGACCCTTACATATTTTTGTATATGGAGTTTTTTTTAATAAGAGGTGTGACTTATTCTTTTATGGGTTAACATTTTTTACATTAAACTATTTTTTTAGTAAAGGTATTTTGATTATTAGGATGGATGTGATGTTATTTATTTTTAATGATTAAAAATATCATCGAAAATATTTTTATTAAAAAATGATCAATGTAATGAAGGTGATTTCACATCCATCTGGATAACATCAAATCACTTAAATAAAAAATATCTTTATTAAAAAATTGGTCAATATACAAAACAAGAAGATGGACGGTGTGGATAATGTGTTGCAAAATAAATTATTTTTTTATGACTCAAAATCTATTTTTTTTTTCATATATTCATATATCACATCTAAGATGATCTATTTGAGGTGAACCTTTAATTCTATTTCAAGGTTGCAATCTTAGGTAAACTTTTTTCGTTACGTGAATCTTACATTCCTACGCAATTTTTTTTCTTCTCTTTTGTTCCAAAACTGCCCTTGCTTTTTGGACATTCAGTCTGAAATTTTTTTGGTATCCCTAAAAGGAAAACCCAAAATTTTTTAAACTTTAGGATATTGAAAATATTTTGCCTCAACATTTGTCCGGGACCCATGGATTCCAAAAGAATTTTTGGACCTTCACTGTTTGATTTTTTTAAAACTTTATTATTTTGAAAATCCAAAAATGTGGGCCCAAAGCACAATTTGAGAACAATGGATTCCATAAGAACTTTTGCAATTTTCAATATCCACATATTTTCTAAATTTTTAAATATTGAAAATTGAAAATATTTTTGGCGCAGGGCACACAAATTTTTGGACTTTCACGATCCAAAATTAAAAAAAGAACTAAATAATACAAATGTTTTATTTTAGATCTTGAAGATTGGAAATATGGGCATAATTATTTAAAAAAATTACAAAAAAAAAAGAAAAAGGTTTGAATGTAATAGTAGATTAGAAAAATTGAAGTAAATTTTAAATAACGTAAATTATAAGGTATATGTGCATAATTTTCTCTAATAAATACTGTAATGTGGTGGTTGATCTTTTAGGTTGTCAGATTTTAACATGTGGATATACCACTGTTTGAAAAGTCGACCGACTAACTCGGACTCAGGGATTGGCAGAACACGAGTATGCCCGATTGCTTAGGCCATGCAGTGGGTAATTTCTTTACTAATCGCTTGATTTATTGTAAAAATCAACCAATTTATACACTAATCGATACTAAGGCGATTTATTAAAAAAATCGGTGGATTTTTCATTATTGTATTACAATCTCTCTCTTGGGCTGGGGCTACTTCGCCAACCTCCCTCTCTCTCCCCTACTATTCTCTCGCCCCCTCTTTCTCTCCGTTTCCCCCCTCTCTTGGTTTCCCTCTCATAGACTCTCTCCCTTTCTCTCTCTATTTTCTTCTCAAATTAAATGTTCTAGACCAAAAATATAAATATGCTTTTATTCTTAAATTACTAAAGTACGATGTGAATTTAATAATTTATAAAGCTGCTTTTATTTTTAAACTAGTTTTTTAGTATAAAAATTTTCTAGTTCATTGTAAAAGTATTGTTTAAATTTTGTCATGAAACCCAATTTTTCTTATAATTGTTTTGGGATTTTTTACCCCCATTTTTTTAATTATAAACCTCAGCACTATTCGGCCGACAAACTCGGAGGTAGTCCAATTAATTGGCATATATATATATATATATATATATATATGGAAAACATTATACAATGCTTATAACCGAAAATGAACAATGATTTCTCCTACCCCCATTACCGTCCAAAGTTCATCGTGCGGTCACGATTATTCGGTAGCGTTTTATTTTTTATTTTTTTTATATAAATCGAAATGACCTAAAATTTGGAGTGTTTATTCATAAAAAATAAAAAAATATTTTAAAAATATAAAAAAAATATTTTACATGTCCGAATCGACCGACACACCAAATCACTTTATTTTTCTTACCAAACCGAAAAACACTCTAAAGCGAAAATAACAAGATTGGCTTTCCTACTCCTACCTTGTCCTAGTACCGCACACTAGGATTTAAGCAATCCAACTTATGAATCATTCTGATCCCTCGGTGTCCTACCTTATCCTAGTACCCGCCCACGATAGCGCCTTAAGCAATCCAACTTATGGGTCATTCTGATCCATGAGTAT